TCTATTGGATCAAAAGTGACTGAGTGTTTGGAGAAATATGCACTGATCAAAAACATGAACACAAATTTGTAAAGGTTAGATCATGTCTACCAAAACTAATCCTGTCTTTTTTTGAGGAAGTAGCTCAAGTTGGTATGTGGGGAATGTCTTAGAGATAGTTCATATGCCTTTCAAGAAGCCATTTGATATGGATCTGCATAGAAGCCATTGACTAAAATTTAAACTCTCAGGGTGGTAAACAGATTACTGACCTGGTAATATCATCGGACACTGAGTAGGAATATGGGAGTCTATTTTATACGGAAAGTAGTGACCAGTTCTGTCTAACAAGAATAAGGAGTCGAAACTGTTGCACATCATGGACTAATGATTTAACATGACAGATAGCCACGCAGAAAAATTGCTGGCACAGTAAGTAATGTAAAGAGCATAAAATTACAGAGGGACATTGATAGGTGCTTGGCAAAAGTACAGCAAATGATTTGAATGCATGCAAAACATGAAATAATCTATTTTAAGCCATAAATAAGGGTTTGATCTGGATAGTGAAATGCGAGGGGCAGTGAAGGTCGATAGCAATTTAAAAGTACATGTACACATACAACCGAAATATGCTGTTCAGGTACGCAAAAAAAGAGGAAACACATTCAGCTTGTTGAACCTACGCAGGTTAGTTTAGTTCCTCCTCCTATTTTTTATGCTCCTATGTATCCATCCTGGTTTAGTAATTGCTACTGTATTGCAAAACATTAATATATCTGTTGTACGGTCATTTCTCACTGCTGAGCACCATGTTGTATGAGGCTGTGTGTACTATTGTTCACTATGTGCTAGATTTCAGGGTTGGGATTTATAGGGCCTGATGCAGCTTAGGGAAACTGCTTACTAGTTAACAAGCAGATGCTTTTCAACAAGATACAGTTTATTGCATGTTAACACCTATTACAAGATACAATATTATAGAGGAGCAAATTACTGCAGTTGTTGAAATGTATACTGAAAACAAAAAATGAGTCATGTAGACTCGAAACGTTATATATGGCATGCTTGACTTTATTGGTTGGAGAATTGAGTACAAAAGTCAGGTTGTCATGGTGCAGCTTTATAAGACTTTAGTTAGGCCACACTTAGAGTATTTATGTTCAGATCTGGTTGCCACAGTACAGGAAGGATGTGGAAGTTTTGGAAAGGATGCAGAAGAGGTTTACCAGGATACTGCCTGGATTAGAGGGTATGAGCTATAAGGAGAGGCTGGAGAAACTTGGGTTGTTTTCTCTGGAGTGGCGGAAGCTGAGGGGAGCCTTGAAAGAAGTCTATAAAATTGAGATGCATAGGTAGGGATGACGGTCAGAATCTTTTTCCCAGAGTTGGCAGGTGGCTCAGTGGTTAGCACTGCTACCTCACAGTTACGGACCAAGGTCAGGCAGAAGGGATTAGTTTCATTTAGAGTCATGTTCGGCACAACATTGTGGGCCGAAGGGCCCGATCCTGTGCTGTACTGTTCTACGTTCTATGTTAGCTTGTTTTCTGTCCATGCATGCTGCCTGACCCACCGTGAATTCCAGGATTTTTTGTTTTCACTGATACATAGACGTTGTTACAAAAACTGTGACGACCTAAACTGTGGTTTTTATTCCTTTGAGATCCTGAGCTATTTTCCCACCAAGTTCATATGACATAATAGAGCTGGTACTTCATACACTTCTCAGTTCTAACCTTTCACACTCTTGCACTCTAATAGACAACAGTATCAATCTCAGTTTTAAATTTTTCAATGTACCCCACAACTTCAACAGTATTTTTTTTGTATATAGGTTTCTGCCAGCACACTGAAGGACTTAGCTTTAATTTTAAGGTGATTCCAGCCTGATTTCTGATCCCTCACGAGCAGAAATAGTTTCTCTTAGCCTTTTAAAACATATATTGATTTTAGTTTGATCATCTCTTAATATTCCATAATGAAGGGAATACAAGTCTAGTTTATGTAACATGTCATCATAATACAAACCTGTTTAATGCTGATCATATCGAGTTGTCATTGAGTTAGAACATGCCAGTCACTGGGACAAATATACACCAAGTATGGGAACGAAAGCAATTGACGGAATCAAGCCTAGTTTTTCTTTAACTGACCTGTTTAGGCATCTTATAACACACCTCTGGAGCAGGTAGGACTTGAACACGTGCCTCCTGGTCCAGAGATAGGGACACTACCACTGCACCAGAAGAGTCCTGGTATCAAGCTTACTGTTGAGTTTAAATTGTACACAGCATAGTGCCCATTAGGAAACCAAAATCCAGTTCTGCCAGCTTTAATATTGATGGCCAAGCATTTCTATTGTGTCACATGGGTGAATTCACTCACCCTGCAGGATATTGCTGACCAAATGCTAACCATTTAATGGGACAAATATTGCTAATCCACAGCTACACTGCCGGGCCAGGGACATACAGGGAACCGGTATATCAATAGTTAATAGTAAAGTGTATACCCACCTCCATCTGCAAGTATACACCATAATTTAATGGGGGAAAAAGTACCAGGTGAATATTGTGAAATCCTTGGAAACATTTTTTAGAGTTCTTCATGTTAGAGGAAGGTTGAAAGTCATTGGCAACAGTTCTCCTCAGCACACTGCATATTTTGACAGCAGTATAATAGGGAGCATAGTGTCAGATCCAGTTCTGTATCAAACTGACTGCTAGCTAATTAATTGTTAATTCCTACTTTTCAAATGTTTGGCATTTACAGAGCGAGAAGAGCTGTTAGTGCACGAATGGAATGGTAAGTAAGGCTGTCATCTGTTGAAGTTCTGCACACTCACTGTGCTTGGTGAAGTAAGGTTTCTGTATAACTTTAATCCTTCGCTTACACAAACTGTGCAGCTCCATTCAGAGCAAATGCAGCATGACCCCTGAATAGAAAGCACTTGTCCAACAGAATACTAACTTTAAAAACTGGCTACTGTTGGACAATTCAAATATTGCCCTTGCCTCGAACATAGTAATTATAGCACATTCTGCCCAACTGAACCATGCTGATGGCTCTGCTGTACACAGAGTTGCAGGTAGACAAGGTAGTTTGGCACACTTGTCTTTATTGGTCAGTGCATGCAGTATAGGAGTTGGGAGGTCATGTTGAGGCTGTGCAGGATATTTGGTAGGCTACTTGGCATATGGCTTTCAATTCTGGTGTCCCTTCCAAACATAAGGATATTGTGTAACTTGTAAGGGTTTAGAAAAGATTTATAAGGATGTTGCCAGGGTTGGAGGGTTTGAGCTATAGAGAGAGGCCTTGGAGCGTTGGAGACTGAGGAGTAACTTATAGAAATTTATAACATCACGAGGTATAGCCAAGGTCTTTTCTCCAGGGTAGCAGAATCCAAAGCTGGAGAGTATAGGTTTACAATGAGAGGGGAAAGATTTAAAAGATACCTAAGGGTCAACGTTTTCACACAGAGGGTGGTGCATGTATGGAATGAGCTGCTAGTGGAAGTGGTAGAGGTAGGTACAATTACAACATTTAACAGGCATCTGGATGGGTACATGAATAGGAAAGGTTTAGAAGAATATGGGCCAAATTCTGGCAAATAGGACTAGATTAATTTAGGAGATCGAAGGATCTGTTTCCATGCTGTATAACTCTATGACTTGATGACTCTATAAACCTCCTCTCATTCCTTTTCTTCTAATTCTTAATATAATGTTTTACTCCTCTATCTCCCGTCTTCTTACCTTTTTTTTCCATTAAGTACAGCTATGTGATCAATCTCAATTACTCACTGAATCTTTAACTTTTGATCAGTGCCAACTCTCATTTCCCCCCTTGAGGGTAATGACTGAATAGAGGACAGATCGCTGTTCATTTAAAACAGAATAACCAGAGGACAGTTACCCTTTGGACTCCCTAATGTGCAGGGTGCACTGGGAACTGGGAAGAAATGAAGATTAAAAAGCTTGTGAATAGAATGATCAAATCCTGGATAATTACAAAAGTAAAATACTGCGTGTGTTGAAAATTTGAAATAAAAACAGAAAGTTCTGGAGCAACCCCGCAGGTCTGGCATTATCTGTGAAAACAGCAACTGAGTTAAACTACAAGTCCAATATGACTCTTCTTAGGCCATAAGAAATAGGAACAGGAGTAGGCCATTCGATCCCTCAAGCCTGCTCTACAATTCAATAGGATCATGGCTGATTCAACAATCTTCACACTCACATTCCTGCATTTTCCTGTAACCCTTGACTGCCCTACTGATCAAAATTCTATCTACCCTCAGTCTTAAACATACACAAGGACTCTGCCTCCATTCTTCAGAATGTAGTTACTGAGTTACTTCAGCACTTCCTGCATTTTAAACTCGTGATCGTATTCTTTTTGAACCAGACCTTTTCACATTTACAAAAGCCATCACATTAAACAACATTGAATCTGGTGTAACAATGGGCCAATCAGGGCAGGTGGGATAGTTATCAAACTTAGATAGCCTGTTATATAAGTGACTGCTTTACAACATTGTCATTCTACCACCTACAGTACTGTGCTTAGGCTTTGAAGTTATGCTCTGTGACATAATTGTAAAACCACTTAATTTTTGCCTTGACTGAAATATTTGACCAAAGAACTTAAAATGAACATATTAAATCTTCCTTTGACTCAACTGGCAGTAGAAATCACAGTTTTTCAATGTTGAGTAATAGATTTACCAGAATTTACCATCAGATATGAAGAATGAGTGAGATTACTTTCAAAATACTGATGTAATAACGTCTGTCAAAACTCTTCGGGGTGAAAGTATGGCTTACCGGAATACATTTAACATCATTCTTTCTTTGGGTGTAATGCTGAAGCAATTTACCTCAGGATTATTGTTATTTGCAGTTTAGTAATGTATGCCGATGTGGATAAAAGTTTGAACCATGTTCTTTTTCCCACTTACACCCAATTCACCTTTCAGGTTTGCTACCTCTTGCAAAGTGGACTTGGAAGCAAGGTGTACCTTTGATATCCCAGAGGCTGAAATGGCGACTGTCAGCTGCTTCAGGAACCAATGTGAAGTAAAAGTGATGGCCGGCCTGTGGTTCATCCTTGTCCACCACGCTGACCGTATGGATCAGCTGTAACAAAAAGCAAAGCGTCAAAGTCTGAGCTGCGGCAATTCTTCCAGAGCGCTGATGACATGGAACTCCATCTGCTCTCACGAATGCTGGCTTTCATCAATGCAGTCCCTAGCACCTCCACTGCTCCTGACTATCATGGGCAGCACTAACCATCTGCTATTACTGTAGAGATTAAATACACAGGCCCTGCTTACAACAAAGTTACCAATTGTTTCAGAGTGTTCAATAAGCTTCTCCAAGTTTGTGGCCAATGACAATTTGCATTTCTATAGCATCTATAATGTCATAAAATTTACCAAGGTGCTACACAAAAGCAGTTCCCTACAAAATCAGAGTTATGTGGAGAGATATTCAGACAGGGTAAGCTACATTAAAGAGTACATTTTAAGCAGTATCTGAAAATAACAGAGGAGGACAGGGTCAGCGAAGCAACTGCTGGAGGTACTGCGCAGACAGCTGAAGGTACAGCTGCCGATGATGGAACAATTAAAATTGGCACAATTAAAATTGGAACAATGCAAATACACGAGGCCAGAATTGAAGGAGTGCCAAGATGTTGGAGGGCTGCAGGACTGGGGAAAGTCACAGGGAGGGGCAATTGTAGTAGGATTTGAAAGTAAGGATGAGCTCTTTAAACCTGAGGTGTTGCCAACACTGAGGTCAATGTAGGTCAGTGAGTACAGGGCTGAGAGATGAATGAAGTATTGTGTAAGTTGGAGCCCACACAAGAGAATTTTGGAAATATTCAGGTTTCATAAGAGGGGAAGAAATCCTTCCTCTATCTGTTTCTTTCTAGGGTCTCAGCAGGTTTCCAAACATCCCATCCATGTTCACAGTCCCATTTCAGCACTGAGGGAGCACTACACTGTTGGCAATGTCATTTGTCAGATGAGATATTAAACTGAGGCCCTGTCTCTTTTTTAAACTAATATTTTTAAGAGGAACAGAGAACTTTGTCCTGTATTCTGGTCTTCAACCATTATCACACGGTGGGACTTTTATCTCTGCAAAGTGGTTTCTGCTCCTCCAACACTACTATGGTAACTAGACTTCAAGGGTATTTGTAAAGAAATGTGTCTTGTTGTAAAACATATAACATAAATGTGTCTTTTTTAAAAGATTAACTGGTGTAAGCAACAACTTCATAAATTTTTAACTGTAACAACGTGGCTGGAAATTTCTTTTTCAGTGCTCCAAGCATAGTGTGAGAGCACGTACTGAGAAAGTCCATCCACCGAGCCCTTAACTTTTCATCTTTAACAATTGTTGTCAGGAAAACTTTCAGTTGCAGAACCATCCTCAATGTCCTCCCAGGATGTGCCATGAAGACTCGTCTGAAAATTCCTGGGTAAATTTTCTATTGTTCTACATCTGCATTAACTATGTTTTCAGCTTTTGTGAAAACCTTCAGTCAGCAAAGCAAGTCTGGGAACTCAAAATGACTTGCATATCAGAACGTAGTCAATAGGCCATTACCTTAAAAACCTATTGATTCTCTATTTATTGAAATCAATATGGATGGCTTTGCTTAAAGAGGTTCAGAGTTAGTTTGTATCAATTAATGACGTGCTCTGGGAGAAGATTTAGCTGATTGCATTAATCTAAAAATCCAATGAATATTGCATCTACCTGACCCGCTTTGGCATCTTCACAAATAGTAGCTTCAAATGGCATGGAAAGTTCTGGAGCATTGTCATTGACATCCAAAATCCTGACACCAAGGGAAGCCTTGCTCACTTGGGAGTGGTCATCTAGACAAAGCACACCATCAAGGAAACAGTTAGTTGAAGGTCAAACACTTCTGAGAGGAGACAATACAACAGGATGACACTCAGGGCTTCTTTTGAAAGAACAGAATTATTAGACTCACACCAGATTCTAATTTTCGCCTTGTTTCTCTCACAAGGATCGGCATTGCCTTCACGATAAATCAATCATCCTTACACAAATGGACTGGAGAGATTCAATCTATGACAAGGCTGGAGTCATTTCACCAGGCAGAGTTTCATTAAAATCAATATTTACACATCCTTCAACTCTTCTAGAGTAAATACATCCAGTTCTTGATAGTTGCAATGCGTCATTACATTATTCTTAGCCCATAAGTAAGTAGAAGAACTTAAATTTCTGGTTCTGCTGTACTTACAAAGACATGGGTAGAATTTCAAAACACCTCTTGATGACTTTGCCATGGATACCTGAAGGTGGATGATTGAATAATGACCATTCATATGCGATTAGCTTAAGATTAACATCAAGTATGCAATTACTGCAAAGGTGATCAAATCATCTTCCTTAAAATTTAGTAATTAGCTCAAGCATACTATGCTTCATTCTAGTATAATGTATTTTTAGTATAATGGAAATCTGAAACAAAAAATAAAGTGAAAATGTGGCAAATACTCAGCAAATCTGGCAACATCTGCGTAGGGAAAATGCACCAAGTTAGCATTTCAGATCGATGACCTTTGACCAGCTGTTGCAAAAGGACCAGCACAAATTGGTTTACTGGCCTTACTTAGATAGAGCTGTTTAAAGTTTTTTGAGAAGATTTGTAGCTCGGGTTGTAGATGAGGTTGTAGACTTGCTCGCTGAGCCGGTGTGTTTGGTTGCAGACGTTTTGTCACTCTGTTAGGTAACACCGTCAGTGCACCTCCAGTGAAGCGCTGGTGTTTTGTCCCACTTGTTATTTATATGCCTCGGTTTGATGGGGTGGTTGGCATCACTTCCGGTTCTGTTTTTCAGTGGTTTGTATCCCAACCGGAACTCGATCAACAAACACATTCAACTGGACCCGAGACACATCTTCCCATCTTCCGATGTGCCAAGTGTGACTCCAACCAGTGGAGAATTTGCCACCTAATATCCATTGATTCCAGTTTTGCTAGGGCTTCTTGATGCCACACTTTGTGAAGGCAGCCTTGATGTCAAGGACTGTCATTCTCACTTCACCTTTGGAATTCAGCTCTTTTGTCCATGTTTGAACCAAGGCTGTAATGAGGTCAGGAGCTGAGTGGCCCTGGTGGAACCCAAACTGGGCATCACTGAGCAGGTTATTGTTGCTTGATAACACTGTTGCTGATAATTTCCATCACTTTACTGATGATCAAGAGTATACTGATCAGATGGTAATTGGTCGAGTTGGATTTATCCTGCATTTTGTGTACAGGACATACCTGGGCAATTTTCCACACTGTTGGGTAGGTGCCAGTGTTGTAACTGTACTGGACCAGCTTGGCTAGGAAAATAGCAAGTTTTGGAGCACAAGTCTTCAGTATTATTGACATAATGTAGTCAGGGCCCATAACTTTAGCCGTATCCAGTATCTCCAACTGTTTCTTGACATTAATGTCTTTTAGGGAAGGAAACTGTCATCCTTACCTGGACTGGCCTACAAGTGACTCCAGAACCACATAGCCAGCATTACCCTCACTCTCTGAATTAAAACAAATTTTCATACGGAGCGAATCGAATTGGCTGAAAACTGGTATTTGTGATATTGGGAATCACTGCAAACAATAAATGTTCTCTTCTTTTCACTCAAGAAACCTTTTAAACCTGTTCCTTACTTGATTTTGGTGAGCTAGCATTTTTATTGGAGTCATATATAACTGAGTGCTAAAAGGAATTAAAATCTTTGAGATAACAAGGTGTAGAGCTGGATGAACACAGCAGGCCAAGCAGCATCAGAGGAGCAGGAAGGCTGACTTTCCGGCCTAGACCCTTCTTCAGAAATGGGGGAGGGGAAGGGAGTTCTGAAATAAATAGGGAGAGAGGGGGAGGCAGATAGAAGATGGATAGAGGAGAAGATAGGTGGAGAGGAGACAGACAGGTCAAAGAGGCGGGGATGGAGCCAGTAAAGGTGAGTGTAGGTGGGGAGGTAGGGAGGGGATAGGTCAGTCCAGGGAGGACGGACAGGTCAAGGGGGCGGGATGAGGTTAGCAGGTAGGAGATGGGGGTGGGACTTGAGGTGGGAGGAGGGGATAGGTAGGAGGAAGGACAGGTTAGGGAGGCGGGGACGAGCTGGGCTGTTTTGGGATGCGGTAGGGGGAGGGAGATTTTGAAGCTTGTGAAGTCCACATTGACACCATTGGGCTGCAGGGTTCCCAAGCGGAATATGAGTTGCTGTTCCTGCAACCTTCGGGTGGCATCGTTGTGGCACCGCAGGAGACCCAGGATGGACATGTCTGAGGAATGGGAGGGGGAGTTGAAATGGTTCGCGACTGGGAGGTGCAGTTGTTTATTGCGAACCAAGCGTAGGTGTTCTGCAAAGCGGTCCCCAAGCCTCCGCTTGGTTTCCCTGATGTGGAGGATGCCACAACAGGAACAGCGGATACAGTATACCACATTAGCAGATGTGCAGGTGAATATCTGCTTGATGTGGAAAGTCTTCTTGGGGCCTGGGATGGGGGTGAGGGGGGAGGTGTAGCACTTCCTGTGGTTGCAGGGAAAAGTGCCGGGTGTGGTGGGTCTGGAGGGGAGTGTGGAGCGGACAAGGGAGTCACGGAGAGACTGGTCCCTCCGGAAGGCAGGTAAGGGTGGGGAGGGAAAAATGTCTTTGGTGGTGGGGTCGGATTGCAGATGGCGGAAGTGTCGGAGGATGATGTGTTGGATCTGGAGGTTGGTGGGGTGGTACGTGAGGATGAGGGGGATTCTGTTTTGGTTGTTATTGCGGGGAGGGGTGTGAGGGATGAGTTGTGGGAAATGCGGCAGACATGGTCCAGGGCGTTCTCGACCACTGAGGGGAGGAAGTTGCGGTCCTTGAGAAACGAGGACATCTGAGATGATCGGGAGTGGAATGCCTCATCCTGGGAGCAGATGCGGTGGAGGCGAAGGAATTGGGAATAGGGGATGGCATTTTTGCAGGAAGGTGGTTGGGAGGAGGTGTATTCTAGGTGGCTGTGGGAGTTGGTGGGCTTGAAATGGATATCGGTTTCCAGGTGGTTGACAGAGATGGAAACAGAGAGGTCCAGGAAGGAGAGAGAGGTATCAGAGATGGTCCAGGTGAACTTAAGGTTGGGTGGAAGGTGTTGGTGAAGTGGATGAACTGTTCGAGCTCCTCGTGGGAGCACGAGGTGGCGCTGATACAGTCATCAATGTAACGGAGGAAGAGATGGGGTTTACGGCCAGTGTAGCTACGGAAGAGGGATTGTTCCACGTAACCTACAAAGAGGCAGGCATAGCTTGGGCCCATGCAGATACTCATGGCCACCCCCTTTGTCTGTTGGAAGTGGGAGGAATTGAAAGAGAAGTTGTTGAGGGTGAGGACGAGTTCGGCTAAGTGGATGAGGGCGTCAGTGGAGGGGGACTGGTCGGGCCTGCGGGATAGGAAGAAGTGGAGGGCCTTTAGGCCATCTGCATGGGGATCTTTGTGATGTAAAATCTTTGTGATGGACATACAAGAGGAGCAGATTCACCCTCCCTCACTTGATCCTAACATGCATCACCCCTTAGCCTTCTCTTTGCTAAGGAAAACCATGTCGACGTTTTCAAAATCTCTTCATGACTGAACTCCCTTGTCCCTGGGGGACTTCCTCTGTACCCTTTCTAAGGCCTTTACCTATTTTCCTGAAGTTTGATGCCCAGAAATATCCACAATGCCCCAGCTGGGCAACCCATGATTTAGCAGTGGGAATAGCAACCATAATATTGCTTTAATATTCCACGCCTCCAGTTGTAAACTCACATCACCCAGATGTTTTTCTAATTCAGAAAGCAATCATATTTCACAGAAAATGTCAGTGTATTTATGTTAAATCTTTGGAATTGCTTGTAATCCTTTTTACATGAACTATAACTATAACTAAGCACAGTTTATTTATAAAATTTGAGTCTCTTCTTAAGGTGCTATATTATATAGGTTAACAGTAATTATGCTCATTGTTAGAGATCATCATCAGTAATTTTGGCTGATGTCACATTGCAGGAACCTGAAGGGTGAACTCTTGGTAAAGGCTGTCTCAGTAGGTCGTGTAAGTAGTCAATAAATTTTCATTTGCCTACACTAGCATTGGTTTGACATCCCATCTATCAAAGGCACCCAGAATTCGGTTGTGATAAGAACACAAGCTTTAGCGTGATAAAGACATTGGTCGAGATTACACCAGTCTCAGGATGACGGATGAAGAATTGGGAGAGTATGAAAAAATGCCGGGGAGTTGCAGCAGGCTGGTTCCTCTGACACAGGCAAGTTGCTGGGGGTGGATTCCAGGAGGCAAGAATTACAGTGGCTCGGGTGTTGGCCAACAGGACACAGGGCAGGGTACTTCCCCATGACCCCACCTCCACACCCAACACAAGTAGAGGTTGTCCATGTCATGGATACAACTTCACAATGGGATCCCTGAAAGGGGAGGGGTGATGGGGAGTGGAGACAGCACAACAGAAGTTTGCCTGCTGGGCCCCAGGTAGAAAAAACAGCCCGCCACCCCTGTAAAGATGTCTCATATCGGTGGCACCCTGGGCACTTTGCAGCTTTGGTCACCTCTCCTGGTGGTACTGCTGAGCTGCTGGCTCTCTGACTGGGTCAACTGCTTGGAAGGCCTGTCCATATTCCTTGACTGGCCATCCCTCCCCCTCTTTCTCCTTCAATATGCAGCAACAAACACATCACTTCTTCACTTCCTCTTGCACCCTCCTAACTCAACCATGACCATGACACGGACAATACATCTCAAAGTGGGGAATTTATCTATTTCGGCAAAAACGAGGCTGTTTCTGTTTCAAAGATAACACGGTGTAGAGCTGGATA